CTACTGCCCCTAGCAAGGTCAACAGGCGAGTCCTGGACAGACGAGATCTCAGCCAATGCATCCGGGAACTGTTTGACCTCACGAAGCTATTCTGAACATGACTATGGCAGCAAGCAGGAAAAATGCCTGGGCTCTTCAGAGCAAAGGCACTACTGACATGCAAAGAATTCTTCTGGGCTCCTCCTGAGACCTGGGATGGGCCCGGCCACGAGTCTGATCCATGCACACTCCACAGAGAAGCATCTCCCTTAGGGGATGAACTCACTTCCCCAGCCGGGCTGGGTCCTGTCTCTTCTTCGTCACTCAGGGCTTAGTTGCCAGGCTTGGCACAGGCCGGCTCACCAGTAAATTCAGAGAGGGGAGAGAAAATCCCAGCCTGAACTCAGTGCTGAGGGGAGATGTCAATTCACTTCCACCTAATAACACTGCAGGATCAGCAGGCGAACACACACATTCATTACCAAGTCTAATTAGGCTGGCAGACAAGTGGCATTAATCATTTTTGACTGTACCTGGGATTCAAGCCCCCCACACTCCATAATCAGAAAATTTCATGCTCTGATGAATAGGGGGAGAAATGAAGCCCACATTTAATCCTTTCACTTTCATCTTTTGAGAAGACAGGAAATAGGAGAGGAAAAACCAGGGGGTGCAGCTTGAAGAGCTCAGAAGGCCTCTGGAAAGCAATTTGTGTCCTTTGTGTGTCCCCTGAATCACACTTTCCTATAGGACATTTGCCAAGCAATGACCCTTGGTAGAGCCTGGGAGGAGGGAAGGATGGGCTAGGGTTCTCACTATGTACCATAACAAAGCTTCCATTTTAGCACTTAATTTGTCAGCCTCCAAACCCAACCTGGTTTAAATCAACAAAAATTAAGTCACACACTTCAGTATGGCCGCTGGCCAGGCATGCAGACAAATGCCTTCCAAAAGCTCAAGGTAAGCACAGAAGCCATCAGGACCACAGAGGGCGCTTTCTGAGACGCCTAGGGTGAAGGCCTTTCCCTGATGTGGGGAGAGTCAATGCCAATGTCCTAAAGGTCTGTTCAGGCAAACCACCCATGGTAGGCCATGTCCCAGGTCCAATGGGCTTTGCATGGGCGCTTCCAGCCCTGCAGAATTCAGCTAAACTGAGCCATTCATGCAGAGGCAAGAAGAGCTAGAGGCCAGCAGGGGCCAGCCATTTCCACATGAAAAGTCTCCGTGGCTTTCCTGGTGGACACCATGACCAGCACCACAATTCCAGTCTGTTATGCGAGGGGGAAGTAAGGATGTGGAGTCCCTGGAGCCCCCCCTTTCAACCCTAGTTTTCCTTTTTCTTTTTTAAATGCATTTATTACAGGGGATACAGGGTGTACAGGGTCTCACTACTTAGATTGGACTCATAGTGATTCTTCTGTTTTTAGCCTCCCAAGCACTAGGATTACAGGTGCATGCCGCCACACCCAGGTGCCCAGTCTTAATCGCCAGCTCAGCGTACCCTGGGGGCCGCGCTGGCATGGCATGCCGGGGATCTAACTTTGGCCGCTGCACTCTTCCTAAGCAGGCGCTTTAGTCCGCTGAGCTATCAGGCTGGCCTTTCAACCCTAGTTTTCAAATCACTGAACACATCGTGGCTCTGAGCACTCCCTCACCTCCCCCAAGAGCCTCCAAGTCCAGGCACAGTGGGAGGCTCACCAGTGAGGTGCAGGATAAGTCCCAGTCTCTCCTCCCAGAGTCTGGAGTCCTAGAACTGGAGCTAAGTTTCCCCAGCTGTCAGACAATTTGCTGGTGGAGGATCGCTTACAATCCACAAAAGACAAGAAGAAAGGGGATAGGCCACCTCAGTGTGCCCTCTACAGGAGGGATAGCCTATGACAACAAAGCCGAAGGGCAGCTGGTGAGTTTCTCAGGTTATTTGCTTTTGACCATTGATTGCTACATCAGTGACCACTGTGCCCGCCCCAAGCAAGACATGCAGTCATGTAACCTTCCTCGCTTGTCTTTTTCTCTATATTTCTGCCAACCCTCACTGGATTTCCTTCTCCAACCAACAGGATTTCTTGAATCCTGAAAATTGGTGTAAATTCTGAATTTTGATGTTGACAAATCCAGCACTGACCAGAGTTCAGTTACAGACCTAGAAGTGGGGAAAACTTGTTAGGCAGGCAGATGGTGCACTGGCAATTAATTCTCGAAAGCTTTTTGGTTATAGGAAGCCCATTTGCCAACATGGCTCCCACCCAGTGTCGGTCTCTTGTGCAGGCAGATGTCATTTATGTACCCACTGCCCTTCTGCTTGTTTCTAAGAACAGGGAGATTTAATAATACAAACAAGCCACCCCCTTCAGCTACCACTTACTGAAGCACTTTGCGGGTTCAACTGACAGGCAGATAAGACGCGAATGTCTTTGTGAGCCCCTACACCAGGAAGAGAAGGGTTTCGGTTGCTGGCACTCTGGAGGATGTTGCAGCCACTGCAGGACACGGGCTGAGGATCCATCTCCAAGGGTCACTTCATACTTAAAACTTCCTGGGATGCCTGCAGCACTCACTTCACCACTGAGCACAGCAACTGGGCAGTCAGAAAACAGTGCCCACTGCTTGGAAAAAGGGATCCGAGGAGCCAGCGTGCCCAGGCTAGTGCTACTGCTCTGGGATGGGAGAGTTTAATTCGTATTGCATTACACATTCATTTTGCATTTTTCCAAATTTTAGGCTCTACTAAAAATGCTGAACACATATAAAAAATCCACTTAATTCTCACATTAAGATGATGAAGCAGGTAAGATTATTTTCCCTACTTTTGGGAGGGTGGTAACCAGGAATCAAACTCAGGACCTTGCACTTGATTATTCCCACTTTTTTAAAACAAGGAAACAGAACACAGAGACCCGATGTCACACAGAGGGCAAGTGACAGGACCCAAACTCAGGACTCTGGTTCTGGTCTGCACTCTCATCACTGCACTGCGCTGCCATTACGGATGCCCTTCCTGGCCCTTGCATTTCAAGGCTAAGACAGACAAGCAACCCCACCCTGGAACTAGATGTTCTACCTAAAGCAAGATGCTCGGTGAGCTCAGCCCTACTGGCTGAACTCGTCCATCAGAATATTTCTCAACTTCTCCCAGAAAGTCACAGGCTCACAATTAGTTAAATATTAATAACAACAAACAGAGACTCTTCTCTGCAGCCCCTGATTCTGATTCTGCTTCCTCCCTGGTGTTCAGACATTTCTGATAACACATAGTTGGTGTTAAATCATCTGTGTCTGGAGTATGGGAACCCAACAAAAGGAGAAGACGTCACCAACCCCGCACACATCACAGGTCCTGCTGTGGGCCTTTATTCCCCTGCCACTAGCAACTGTGGCCCAAGCAAAGTGGAAAGACAATTCTACCATGGTGTAAGGGTTAAGCAGAGGAAGCGATTGCAATATGATGTGAGGCTACCTTCACCTAACCATCAAGTATCACACAGATGCACACACCAATGCATCCTACAACCACACAAAATCATAAAACTATGTGAAGCATGTCAACAATTCATATAGTTCCCAAAAGTCTAAGGACAGACAAGAATGCCAATGAAGTGAATTTCTTGGGGTTCTAGTGCAACAAAACCCATCACAGGGAGAATACAGCCTCATGCCCTGAGCATAGGCGTTAAAGCCCCTCCAGACCTTGTGAGGGCGGAGGCTGCCAGTATATCCAGGTTGCCTTCAGCTTTTCTTTAGGTTAGAGGCCCTGAGCACTGACAGCAGCCTTCTACGTACATTGCTCTCTCCAGCTTTGGGCCCGTCCTCCCTCACTGGCTCCTGCACGGTAGGTCTTGGTGGAGGAAAGAACAGCACCCACATGGCCTTTCACGCCCCCTTCCACTGGACCCCGATTAGAGTCCAAGCCCTCCTGTGGGCAGCCAGGTATCCTGAAAAGCACACTGAAGTCCTGAGCTGTGCTGTATACAGGAAAGTGAGGCTCTAAACCCACTAGACATGAGGGCTGCTGCTGTCCAGTGCTGCAGTGCACCACAGGGGAAGGGACTCTGCAGAAAGATGGTGCAAACCACAGTGCCCCTCAGAGATGCTGGTTGAGGATGTGCCACCGCTTGTGCCTTGTGCTTTGGGTATTTAAACCATGTACCTAAACACATGGCTATGGATATCCTCTGCCAAACTGGCTACAGGAAGGGGGCGGGCAGACATCTATTAAAGGAATACACATACCTTATTGTAGGAGGAGAAAATAATAAATGGCAGGAAGACTGCAGGTTTGCTCAGAAATTCCCCACACTGGAAACCCAGTGTAAGGAGCCTGGCTCAGGAGGGGACTCGAGGGGTTGACAGCCAGGAGCAAGGAGCTAAAAAAATCACAGAGAAGGTCAAAGCTGCAAGAATTGAGGAGAAGGAAAAGGAAGAGGCAAGGTTCGGTCCTGCTGTAGAGTCCAAAGGGTTGAGGGACTGAGAGGGGGATATTGGGGTGCAGGGCCCCTGGTGACCCCAGCCTCTTCACCTCACAGACTGTTTCCATCCAGAGCTTAACTAAGTCTCCAGTAGGGAGGAAGGGTCTGAGCTCCGTGCCATAGGTGAATAAAAAAGCCATTTCCCCATTAATTCTAATGAGCAAGAAGAGTTAAATAATCAGCTCAATCTCAGCCTTGGAGCCCAGTTTCAAGAAATTACAACCAAAGGAGATGGATGCATGGGAGACAGCTGAATGACCTTGTGCACAGCCGTCAGCACAGCGCACTAGCGAGCGTGCGCACAGGCGGGTGAAGGGGGCAGTAAGACCGAGGCACACACCTGTAACTGCCCCACACCGCATAACCATACCAGGGCAGCGGGCAGGCACTAAAGGACACCAGGGAGGGGGCTAAGGAGCAGCGTGTCTGAAGGGGTTGCCTGCTTTAAGAACGCACCTACCCCCAAGTCAGAGAGCGCAAAGCCCTCTGTCCCTCGGCCCTGGACTGCGGTGTAGAGCTCCCTCCCCAGCTCTCCCAGGCGCTCCCCCTCACACTCACTAGCGCAGCGCAGCGCCTGCCGCAGCACCTCGCGTCCGCACAGGTCGCACCAGGCTGGACCGCCCCTCAGGGCCAATTCCGCGAAGCGGTGTCCTTCGCCTCGCTCCGCCGGGACTCGGGGATCCTGTGGCTGCTCGAAGATGCTCCGCACGTCGCGGGGCCGGGGCGCTCCAGGCCGCCGCCGCAGTCTCTGCTGCAGACCGGGCCGGAGAGGGCGAGCAGGTCGCGAGACTCTAGACTGGGACTCGGGATCCCCCCGGGTACCCCGGCGGGCGCCGGGCCCCTCGTGCGCTCCGGGCGCGGTGGAGAGGGCCGCGGGGACGCAGCGGCGAGAGGAGCGGCCGTGGGGCTGCGGCTCCGGGCCGCTCAGGCTTGGCAGATAACGCGGAGGCTCGGGGTCCAAGAGAAGTGTGTAGGGGCGCTGCCCAATGGCCGGGGACGCCATGGCCATGCCCGGTTGGCGGCAGTGACTCCTCCGGAGCCAGCCCCGAGAGAAGGGGCGGCCCCAGACCAGCCAGTCTTTAAAGGGACCGCAGCCCGCAGGGCGGGGCGAGGGCGGGGAGACCTCGGAGAGGCAGGAAGGGCGACTCGAGGAAACGACCCACGGACAGAGGATAGGATCGGCAGTGGCAGGCCCGCGCTAGTGCGGATCTGGGGGCGTCTTCAGGAAGCAGAGTGCCTATTGGGGCGCTGAGGATTCCGCATAGAAAGGCTCCAAACGACGCAACTCCGAGGCGCCTGTTTCTATAGAGGGCCCTCTGCCTTCAGCCAAGCCTTTCTCCCATCCCCAGATCCCCACCCCCACCCCGCGTAACCCAGCATCCAGGTGGGAGGCAGGTTGGAGGGTAGGGCTTGGGAACTGGCTGCGAGGGGGCCTTTGCAGGATCCGCCATCCTGGTGGCCCCGCCTCCAGGGGGGCCGCGCTGTCCTGTGCTCGCCCATCCCTCCGCGCCCTCCCAGCCAGAGCCGGGTGTGGGTAGGGACTACCCCGATTGCGCTCCGGCTGCAGCGCCGAGTCGCATGACGCGGGGGTACGCGCGCGCCCCGGACGCTTCCCGGCTGACCCCGGGGAGCAGCCTCCAGCGCCCACAGCGCATCCACGTGAGCGGCCTTTCCCTCGGGTCGGATTTCCCCTCACTTAGGATATTCCCCTTTCCTGGAAGATACTCTTCTTTCCCAGAAGGCTGGGTTTTGGTGATCAAGGTCCCTGGATCCCGAGAAGGACGCGCGCGTGGGTGGGCGAGCTTTTCTTCTTAAGCCAAACCCTGTTCTCCCCTTAGTTGCTGCGGAAACACCGGCCCCTTTGTACCTGCTCTGGGCGAGTCACCTGCAGGACCTTTTCCTGCCAGCACCGGGACTTGCTTCCTGGGGCCCTGCCTAGCTTAAGTTTTGGCTATCACCACCTTCCAAGTCTTCGTTTTTGAACACAAGGCCAGGCATTTTCCTTTTACCCTGGATCCCAAAAATTATGTAGCAGGTCGTGAGCTGGGTGAAGGGGTGGGCAGTATCGGGACTTCTGGGTCTGTTGAACCTGTGTCCTGTTGCAGACCAGCGATGGTCCGGGTCGGTTTGGTTAACTGTAAATCGGGCTGGGAGCAGAGGCCGTTCTTGCTGCTTTGGTTCTTCCCAGCCCCACCCCCTTCACGCCTTTCCTCTTTCAACAGGAATTTCATTGGTCGATTTAGCAGAGGTCACCTGAGCCAGCTCTGAGAATACAGTCTTATCTGAAGGTCTTGCTTCCTGGTTCCAGCCAAGCACTGATTGAAAATATCTTGAAAAAAAACTTAGGACTGTGACTGAACAGGTCTAGACTTTTTACTTTTCTTATTCCCACAAATAATACAGTGTAGCTACTTACCTAACTCGTACACGCTATTAGGTGTTGTGAGTAACGTAGGCGACTAAAGCGCACAGGGAAACGCTACGCCATCTCCTATAAGGGACTTGGACGTCCCTGCGCCTGAGTGTGTTTGTGGGGATTCCGGAGCCAAGTCACAGGCTCACACCCACCAGCCTCTCCGGACGGTGGAGGTAGGAAAGGAGCCTAAATTCTTCCAGACCTGAGTCTCTCCCTGTATTTCCCAGGCCAGAGATGGCTCTCCCCCTAGTGTCTGACAGGGAAATTCTCACTTTTGCTTTTTATTTTCCCCTGGGAGGTAATATTCTTAAGTAATCCCTAAAATTCTTGAGTCCAGTGGTCAAGAATTTCCCACCTTCTTTGTTCCACCACATCACTCTCAGAGTGGTGGTAAGCAGAGTGCTCTTCCTCTCAGGCCAGAGTCCTGCTCTCCGGGTCTCACCTGGTGAGGTTCTCCCTAGGCAGAGGGGAAGAATGGCAGGGCCCACACCACAGTGCTCTAAGCAGATGGAGCGCATCTAAAGCCACAAGCAGCCCTTCTGCTCCACTCCTCCTCCCTTTCCTCCTCCTCCTCCTCCCTCCCTCCCTGAGGTTCTTAAAACTTGGCAACACACAATCACCTAAAGGGTTTATCAAAGCACCCCCCACTGGGGTCCACCCCAAGCATTTCTGAGTCAGTAGGTAGATCTGAGAGTTGGAATAGAGATTTTGTCTTTTTAGCGTGTTCTCAAGCTATTGGTCTTGCTAGCCCAAGGAACCCACTTTGAGAACCACTGTATGGCTCCTGTAGAGCTGGTAAATTTCAGTGGAAAATGGCTGGGGAAAGGCAACAGGAACTGTTCCTCAGGACTTTCTGCTGCATGTGAAAGGGAAAGTACAGCTTGGTTTTCTGCTGCCTATTCCCACCGCTCCCAGTATTTTGCAACCAGTTCTGCAGATTTGTTCCTGAAATCTGTGCTGCATGTTGCCATGCACTCGGGTCCACCCTGTTACCCATCCTTCTCAAGAGGCCACCTGGAAGTCACTCCTTCTGAGGAGTGCTGCACACCCGGGGAGCCCCAGGGCACAGACTTGGCCTCAGCTCTGGGCCACTGTTTGGTGTTCAAGAAGCAATGGGATTCTGGCAAAGAGCACAGCGCTGGAAGATCAGTTTTGAAAGGTCACTCATGAAGTAATTGACAGTAGTCACCACCCCTGCCCCCCACACCATTCAGACAGCCCAGCCTCGATTTCCTGGACAGAGAGGCTTGCAGGGACAGGCATCGTGGCTGGCACAGGGGTCTGAGGCCGTCTGGAGCAAGGCAGTGCACAGCCCTCCCAGCTGTCCTGGTTTCTGTTTTCTCACTGCAGCTCTGGCTTGGTAGCGTGGGTGTCGCTGCTCTCCGCATAGAACAGTACAGGGCCAGAGCCCGCATTTGGCATCTGGGATGGGAATAGGGGTGTGAATGGGGAAAATACAGCTTCATGTAAGCAAGCCAAAAAGTTGATCAAGTTTATCCTGAGGTTTATCTCCCTGAGCCAAGAAATTGAGGTCAGGGGAGATCATTGCCGCTTCTAAACTTAAGAGGAGGCTCCCTGCACTGGATGTGCCTCTTCAAATGCTATCTTTGCCAGTCTCCTCCTCCTCCTCTCCACTCCTCCTCCTCCTCCTCCTCCTCCTCCTTCTCCTCCTCCTCCTCAGGAAGCATTCCTTTCACACACACACACACACACACACACACACACACACACACACACACCCCCCTCTTCCCTCCTTCACCAGGGCAGAAGTGCTAAGAAAATCTCTAGTCAGAACATAGCCTGGGGTAGTGTCTGCTGCCTGGATGTTATAATTTCTGGGAGCATGCAGGCTCCAAGGATAAGAGAGCCGCATCTCTAGAGCACAACTGCTGGGAGTTCCCCCTTTTGGCCTAAGGCTGCCAGCTTTTTTCTGATTGTGACTCACTCGAAGAACAGTGGGTGTGCTGTGCTGCTTTTCTTTTTGACCAAGGAGAAGGATGATGACAGTGGATTTGAGCATGTGGTCAGTGTGAGGCCACCTCAGAGATGGTCCAGGGTGTGTTGATTTCCCTGTTGAGCGGTTATTTCCAGGCTGTCCCCCAACTTCCCTCCCTTTCCCTCCCATTAAGAAGGAAAAAGGAAGGACAAACATGGCCTGATTTTTTTTTTTTAAGGGGAAGCTTTTGGTTTTGTTTGGCTTTGAGGCATTTTAGATTGCCTGAAATCCCCCAGGCTTTTAGGGAGCCCAAAGACCCTGAGAGCTGCACAGCTGCACACTAAGAATTATCGTGTCAGTCTGGACAGGCCCAGCTGTGTTGTGGTAATCGACAAAGCCCAGATCTCAGGGTCTTTAGACAACAGAGGCTTCCTTGCTCACACTGCCTGTCCTGTGCAGGGTGACAGGGGCACTCTGCTCATCAGAGTCACTCAAGGACCAGGCTAATGGCAAAGCCATCCCATCTAGCCTCAAGAAGCAGGAGGACTCTCAGTAGCATTTTAAAGCCTGGTCACTTCTGCTCAGTACCCAGGACAGGGACAGTTACCTGGCCCCGCCCTACCCCAGGGGCAGCACAGAATGCAGTTCTGCTTGCTGTCAGAAAAGGGGAAGAACTGGAAACACTTGCCACCAAAGAGCAGTGCAGTCCTCAAGGGCATGGAGGAGCCACTCACTGAGCAACAGTGCCACTGTGGACACTGCAGGCACAGCAGGGGATGATGGGTCCATGAAGCTTATGTTCTGTGGGACAGTCACATGACAAGCAGGTATCACGTGTGTATCAGGCCATAGGTAGTCTGATGACACCACATAAAGCGCACAAAAAGGACAGAAAGTAACAGGGACTACTTACAGTCTTTTTTTTTCTGTATTTTTTAGGGAAGGGTCTACAGGGTGTTCAGGGTCTCACTACTAGAGCAGACTCCTAGTGATTCTCCTGTTTACAGTCTCCCAAGAGCTGGGATTACAGACGTGCACCACCACAACCAGTCTCAATCTTGGGCTTAGTGCGCCCTAGGGGTGGGGTCAGCATGGTAGGCCTGGGGATCGAACCCCAGCCCCTGCACCTGCTTGCAGGTGCTTTAATCGGCTGAGCTGTTTGGCTGGCCCTTTACTTACAGTCTTTTGCATGGATGAGAAAGGCCTTTGTGAGGTGCTGACATTTAGCCCAGAGTGAACAGAGTTGGCCCTTTGAGCAATAGTCCCAGGCCAAAGAGAACCTTGGACCCCACAGCCCCTGGCTCCCCAAACGCTGTGCGCATGAGTTTGCTCAGAACATGGTTTCCCAGGCCTGCTGTGTAGTGTACACTGCGAGACTGTGAGCAGGAACAACGACCAATGGGGTTGGGAATGAAAATGTGTCTGTGAAAGCTGCTCTGGAAATGTGGAGTAGCTGGCGGGGCCGACTGAAGGCTCGCAGAAGTCATATGACCATTCTGAGCAGGGGTTGCAGGCTCAGACCCCTGAATTGTCTGCCCCCCACCCAGCCAGTGCAGGAGGGCAGCACTGCTCAGAACCTCCTATGTGGCTTCGTGGGGGTGGGGTGAAGACATGGTGAGGTCTTTATCCATTTTCCTCTCCTTTACCTTCCAGGTCTGGCCCAAATGCCAGGCATTCCACAGAGCTTTCCTGGAGTCACCCAGATGGACTCGGCACTGCCTCTTCTGGGCAGCCACAGGTCCCTGTGTCTCTATGTCATACTCATGTCATCCTAACGTGGGTCACATCTCTTTGGCCACTCAGCAGGTAGAACATGCTGGTACAATGAAACAGTCAGCCACGGGCTCTTGGCCGGTGCCTCGGCCAGCACACAACAGTCTCACCCCATAAGGCATGGCCCCAGCTCCTGAGCACATACCGGGAGAATGAAATCCTGCACCCCTCTGGCCTGCGCAGAGGAAAGGTGGCACTGGGGACTCACGGTGACTCCTGCACATCCTCTAAGGTGGGGGCCCTGTGTGGGCTTGCTGGCCAGGGCTAAGGGCCAGCTGAGCACCACCTCTATTCTCAGGGACCTGGACTTGTGTGTCTCCCAGCTTCAATGATCTCGAGGGAGTCTCCAGGGCCCTTGACCTTACTCAGGGGTAAGAAGGGCAGGTGGGGAGGGAAGGCGACCAGCGATAAGGGGGCTCCGGAAAAGGTGTCGCCCTGAGGGGTGGGCATGGGTGGGGCTTGTTTTCCCTGTCTCCTGGCGCCTCCTCCATCTGATTTTAAGCATGGAATTTTCCCATCTCACCACTCTGCCAAGCTTGGGCTAAGCCTGGTTTATGTATCATGTACGCGTGTGGGCCTGTGTGTGTGTGTGTGTGTGTGTGTGTGTGTGTGTGTGTGTGTGTTTTCTTTCAGTTGGAAAAACTCAAAAACCAGGCAGCTTTGTCAGCGGCTTTTATCCCTCAGCCAGAGGGGAGCCGGCAAGCTGTAGCCACTTACATTCAAGCCTCAGCCTACTCCTGGCCGCACTCTGGCAGGAAGCCGAGACTGGATGAGGGCAGAGCAGCGACAGCAGCAGCAGCAGTCCTCCCGGCTGTGCTGCCCCCCTAACCCCAGCCCACTGCTCCTCTGTTCTCTTTCCCTCCCCTCCTTCCTGCTACTCCTACTTCCTCCTTGCCCTCTGTCTCCTTCCCTGTTGCCCCTGTCCTCTCCTCCCTCCTGCTCTCTGGTGAGGGGTGCAGGGAAGGATCCTCGATCTAAGAGGGCAAAACTGTCTTCCAAGGAAAGAAAGCTCCTTCCCAGCCCATTGCTTCCCCCCTCCCATGGGTGACTATGGACCCTTCATGAGACAGAGGGGGGAAGCCAATAATCAATAATCAAACCTTAAAAAAAAATCACTGAAGCTGTTCAAGTGAACCCCAATGGCAGCTGTTCTACTGAAGTGAGGCAGCCCCATGAAAACAAACAGTGGGTTCAGAAGGAAACCCATCCTCTCCTCAGAATGGCTTCCCACCTCAGCTGTCAGGAAGGGCCAGGGTGGGGCTGCCTAGACCAGTGGCCTCGGCTGGACATCTCCTGCACACTCTGCCTCAGTGCTCTCAGACTTCAGCCTGGGGGCCGGGGAGATGGCTCAGTAGAATAAGCGCTTGCCTGGCAAGCGCAAGGGCCTGAGCTCAATCTCCAGTTCTGCAAAAACAAAACAAAACAAAAACCCCAAACCAGCCTGTGTGAGAGGGAAGAACCCCAGCAATGCACATTCCTGGGCCACACCTCACGGGCTGGGTTTGGGAGCTGGGTGGAGCCCTAGAATCTGTGTTTTGAATCTGGACACCAATGTACCAGAAGAAACTGTGGATTCTGAGAGAGAAATAGTTCTCTAGCCTGGTGGCACCATAGCGAGGAAAGAAGTACCAGGCCTCCCAAGCTGACTGTATTTCCAGCAGGGGGAGCAGGGACACCCCATATCCTTTGGGTTAGACCCCTTTTTAGCTTGGACAAGTCTGTGCCAAGATGCCAGCCATGAACTGGAACACCCTGGACCTGAGCCCCTCGCAGGGCTGAGATCAGAAGAGCTGTCTCCCTAAGGAGGTCCCCACACCAAGAGGGAGGCATGTGGAGAAGCTGCTGAGAACCAACACCGTGCTTTGGAAGGTTACGGGAAGAGCTGTTCCTACCCAAGATGGTCCACCCTCCACGCAGGCACTGAAGAGTGCTTACTTTTAAATACCAGTCAGACTTGAACTAAAACCTGTCCTTGGTTCCCAAGTGCTTTAGTGTGGCACTAACCTTTTGGAGCCAGCTCCTCCCTTTCAGCAACACAATTTCCTACTTCCTCTTACTCCCAGGAATGCAGAAATACTTAGTCTCTCCCACTCCTGGGCTTCCGCTGTCCACACTGCCAGCGCCTGCCATGGCTGCTGGGCAACTCATCACCAGCTCACTCCCTAAGATTCCACTCTGGGGCCATCTGACTATGGTCACGCCCTGGCCACCCATCCTGACGTAGGCACCCTGCCCTGCCACGACAGTGACCTGCAGACAGCACCAGAACTGCTCATTCCTAGCACAACACCTACCAGGTGAGGCTGGAATTCACTGGCGTGCCCGCTTTCCTGAGGCTGGAGCTCCTCGGGGATAGGCAAGGTGTCCCTGTGCTTCTGCAGCTCAGCTCCTAGGCCTGGGCCTGGCCACTGTCTTGCTCAGCTCCCACTGGATGAACTGAACAGGCTCTTTCCAGGAATCACTCAAGGGAAGAGAGGGACTCAGGGGTCCTTAGACACCTGTGGTGGGCACTTCAGGTCATGGGCCTTGATACACTTCCTCATTCCTTTCTGAGAGGGATCCGGAAGCTGCCTGTTCAGATTGGTGGAGACAACTAGAGCCTTCGAGTGTGTCCGCCATGTCTCGTGGGCTTGCTGATGAGGTCAGATCCTGGGTTACTTCCCAGACATCTGTGTTTGGTCCTCAGGAACACCCCAGCTCTTTCACACAGCCCCACCAAACACATGGGGTCCAGACCAGGCACAGCTGCCAGGGAAAACCCACTGTGGGGCTTTTCTGCTGGGCCACTGATGAGCCTGAGGTGTCCTGGACTTTACCCTGGTGGAGCAGATGAGGGGTAACCAAGTACTTGGGGGGCAAAGCAGCACCTGGTCCCTGAGACCCCAGAACTTGAACCCATGGCTTTAGTGACCTGCTGGGCTTGAGGTCCAGAGAGCAAACAGGAAGCTCTTAGACTAGATTCAAGCAAGCAGCCTCTAGGATCTCTGCTCCAGGTTCAGAGCTTGCTGCTCTTTCCATGAAAAGCAGAGGTGCTGGAGTGCAGCACTGCGAAGTGTGTACTTGCCTCCGCCCTGCCCACAGGGCACTGCGGCTGAGCTCTGGAAGCCACTGAGGCCACAGAAGGGCAGGCCTCAAGCACAGCACTGTCTTAATGGTCCAGAGCACAGGAGAGTGTGTGCTCCACTCTCCTTTCTCCTCTCCTGGGCTGCCTTACTGTGCTCCCCATTCTCTCCACCAGCACCCAGTCTGGATGGGTGTCCTGCGCTGGGTAAGGGCAGGCGGGAGGTAGCTATCTGCAAGGAATGACTACTTTTGTGAGCCTAACCCAGGCACTACTCCAGCTTTCACATGAAGTAAGGAAAGGCTTAAAACGACCCATGGCAGTACTAGACATCTAGCTCGCAGCCTTGGCCATAAGTAGCGGTGAGAATGGGCCCAAAGACCAGGTACTTAGTGGTTTGAGGGGTTAAACAAAAGACTAAACTTTCTCCAGGCTCCATGCACAGCTGCCCGGAGGACAGAGGCAGGAGAGCAGAGGGGAGAAAGGCCACCCCTCCAGTAAGAGGCCATCTGCCCTCGCTCTTCCCTGAAATTAGGGCCCATAAAGGGGAAAGGTGGAGTCCGGAATCCCCAGCCTGGCCCCATTTCTCCACGCCTCTTCTCAGAGATCCCCAACCAGCCCCTTCAGCCAGCTCACCCAGGGGAGAGCCTCTTGGCTTCTTAGATGCAGCCCAGCAGGTGCCACAGCACAGCGAACAGTCATGGCAGCAACATTTATTCTACCCTGGAGGGTGCAGGCCTCTTCTCTGCGCTTGGCTTGGCCCCTCCAGGTGGTGCCTATTGGCACAGCTGCCTATGGATGCCCCCGGCAGTGTCCAGGACCCATGCTGTGGCCACTCAGAGAGAGAGAGAGATGGAAAGGTTTCCAAGCTGCTAGCATCTTCCTGCGCCCCCTGCATCCTGAGCAGAAGGCTGTGAGGCTCTGTCACCTGCAGCTGAGGGTGGTGATCTGTTCCCTGCGGAACACTCAAAGAGGAAGGAAGATCCGTGTGCTGGGTCAGCCTCGGCCTCCACTGCAGACATCTAGGGAGGCTTAGCCCGCTGGGCCAGGAGTAAGGATGAGGCACAAAGGCCAGCCCAGTGGTAGCTGCCAGGGTGTTACGGGTCCTAACAGAGATGGCCAGGGGCACAGGCAGTGCACCGTAATGCTGGGACATCTCTTGGCTGTGTCGGGACGGAGGTAGTAGGCTGAGGAGAGGGGATGGATCTTGCCCTGGGCTTGTCCCCCGGGGCAGCAGAGCAGCTTGCAGGCCCTCTAATGCTTCTAGAGATCTTGAGCACTCCGGGGAGCTCAGACATCAGGGGTGGGTGGGGCTCCGCTCAGCCTGTGAGGAGAAGTGTGGGTTAGCTAGGAGCTGGAGGGGCTGCAGACCACACCCAAGGGCCCAGCACCATTAGCATCTGGAGCACCCAGCCCTGTGGGTTCCTAGCTTTCTGGTTGCAGCATCCTGCACCCCTCTGCCTCTCAGCTTGAACTGCATGTTAGAATCACTCAGGCATTTACAAAGCCCCCAACGCCAGGCCACACCCAGAAGTTCCTCAGCAGAGTTTAGGGTGAGGGAAAGGAGGTCAGCCTAGTTCATCTGGCTCTGTGCCTGAATAAGGAAGCAAAAGCTCACTAAAATAAAGTTCGCAAGGGAACTACATATCATAGCAAGAAAAATTTATGTCGGCACTAAAATTGGAACTTCCTGACCAAAGTGTTGTTTTGGAAAATCTTTCCAAGAAGCGTCAGAATCTCCCATTGTGAATACTTCAGAAGATGGGCTGGGCCTGGTGGCTCCTGTAATCTCACACTCTAGGAGGCTGAGGCAGAAGGACTGCAAGTTCAAGTCCACTCCTGCACGCTGCCCCCAGGCTCCTTGCCTACCACAGCCTGTTTAACCCCCATGTTAACACCACCAGGTAGAAACTACCATTCCTGTTTTACGTGGTAGAGAACTGAAGTTCAGGGCTCAGCAAGTCTTCCAGGGTCACTCACAGGTAAAGAATAGTCAGGATCCGGCTCCTGTTGTGGTCTCTGCTACCTCTCCTGGCATGTCCCTGGTCCCCACATGGGGGCTGGATGGACAAGGTGCCAGAAGGACACGGTGGTGTGGGTGCCGGTGTCTCTCTTTTGAGGTTATCTCTCTGGAATTTGTGTGCTTTATGCAGACTTCTCCCTACCTGGTTTCAGGAGCAGCTGGCTACTTTCTCGTGACTTTTACAGGGCACATCCAAAAGCCTGTGGGGGGCTGCCACAAGAGATGGACTAGAGGCTTCCTGGTGGCCCCAGTGCTATGAGTGAGGCAGGAGGAGCAGGGCCCTAGGGGGAGGAGGCCCCATGGTCTGGGGTGGTTTGCAGGAGTGGGACAGAGGACAGAAGCAGTGCCCACTCTGAGGATGACCATGGGGACATTAGGGGGTGGGCAGGGAAGCCTCATGCACAGCATCCATGGGACTGAGGGACTGGACTCTGACACAAACCCCTACCTGCCTCACTGCCTCAGCTCTGACAGCACTGAGGGTTTTGTTTCAAAGACTAAAACCTGGCATGTAAACCAGCTGAGGTGGAGGCTCGCAAGTTAGAGCCTAGCTTGGCAACTCAGCAAGACTCCATCTCAAAATAAAAAATTGTAAAACACCTAGTGACATAGCTCAAGGGGAAGAATGAAGGAATGAATATGGAGTAAAGCCTACATCTCCTCTCGATGGCAACTTGTTTGTGGACCAGGCTTGTACCGCAGATGTCCTCCAGCCTGCGTGGGCCCTGGGGACTCCACCCCAAGACCACAGCAGCTGGAGGACGCAAACCTCCCAACACAGCAGGGCCTCCTCACCGCTTGATGATGTGGTTGTTGTCCTGCAGGTCAAAGGTCAGCAGCTTCATCTCCTCATAGAGCTCCTGCATGCTGTCCATGGTAGAGGCCAGAGAGGTGGATAAGGCCGGTGCCCCAAGGCACAGCCAGTGTCCAGGCAAAACAACTCAGCCCTGAGTTCAGCAGCCTTTGCACTCTAACACACATGCACGCATGCACACACACACCATGCACACTCACTCCCTGTGGCACTTACTGCATAACCAGATCCTTTGGAGCACCGCCAGGAGGAGGAGTCGTGGTGTGTGATGAGACCTCAGCCCCCATGGTCCTGTCCTGAAGGAGCTGGTCAAGGATCTGCAGCAAAGCCACAATTACTCAGAGGAGCAAGCCAGCTGTTTGCAGCTGGGCAGAACGGGCTGAGGCAGAGGGTGACAAAAGTGCCCCAGGCTAGTTGCCAGAACTGTCTCACCTAGCCCATCTAGAAACCCAGCTGGCACTACTTTCACTTGTCTGTGCTCCAACCGAAGGGTCCAGGCTGCCCAGTTTACCTATGTCTAACCTAAACTCCTCATGACTCAGCCCCAGCTGCAAGCTGCAGAGGAGGAGGGGCAGGGGGGACCTAGGCTGGTCTGTGGCAGCAGGAAGTCAATGCCCAAGGTGTGAGCAGGGAGGCAGGAGCAGCAGGTGTCCCTGGGAGGGCAGCCTTGTAGCCTGTGACCAGCACCCACAGTCCTGCCCTTGCTCTTTGGTCTGAGATCCCCCGACAGTGCGTCCCATACGTGCTCTGTCCCCCCTCAGTGCACGTCTGTAAGTCAGAGGCCTCTAGGCCATGAGGAAGTGCTTGTCCTTGGTCGAGGCAGCTCTGTCCAGAGACTAGGGAACAATCCCCCCACCGGGCACCCGCATGCCCCTCACAGCCCCTGGCAGCCCTCAGAACCGCACCTTGCTCAGGCTCTCCTGGGCTCCCTGGGCCTCTGTGTTGCAGGTGGCCACAGACCAGCTGGCCAGGCGCAGTTGGTTCCTGGTCTCCTGCACCTCTCTAGGGAAGGCAGGTGGAGCTTGGGGTTGGAGCAGGTCCTGGATCTCACTTCCCAGCCCCCCCAGCCGCCATCAGGCCACCACACAGACACCCATGGGCCCTGAGCCTTCGCCTCCCTCACTGCCCCTGCCCTACTAGGTGTGGCCTGGCTCTCACCTGCCCCACTTTCCTACAGCAGATATGACAAGCCCCAGCTTGTCACTGGGGCTATGTGAGCAGAGATGTTTGCTCTTTGCATACAGGACACCAAGCTGTTAAGCTCACAGTTGGTTCTCCACCTCCTGGGTCACCAGGAGGAGCTAATAATGCACTGGGGTCCAAGCCCTACTCTGACTTTGGGGTGGGGTGGGGTGGGATGGGAAACCAGGCACAGGTATTGCACCATAAATCTGGGGAGCATACAGCACTCAGGAAACTGTACTCCCTTCTCAGGGGGGCTTGGGCTTACACAGTAGGGGAAGCAGGGGCTACCTGAGAAGCCCCCAAACTCTCAGAGGTGCAGGAGAGAGAGGAGTCTGTCAGAGGACACTGTCTGCCCCTGCCCCACACCCACTGGGAAGCCTGAAAGCTTGTCCTTGGCTCAGAGAGACTTGGTCTTCTCATTAGCAAGGATGGAAGGGAACAAGATCCAAGCCTCAGTTCCCTGATCTGTCAAATGGGGTGATGTCATCAACTGTAGGGTAGCTACTGTGGCCTAGACTAGCATTTCTGGAGAAATCACCCCTCAGATGCCTGGTCTACTGGGCCCACAAACCTGCCTTTCTCCCACTTCCTCCCTCTCTCTCTCTCTCTCTCTCTCTCTCTCTCTCCCCTCCCTTTCCCTCTCCCTCCCCCTCTTTCCTTCCCTCCCTCTCTCTGTCTCTATCTCTCCCCCTCCCTCCCTCCCTCCCTCCCTGTCTGTGTCTGTCTGTTTCTCTGTCTCTGTCTGTCTGTCTCTGTCTCTCTCTCTGTCTCTGTCTTTCTCTCTGTCTCTCTGTCCCTCCCCCCTCTCTCCTTCCCTCCCTTTCTCTCTGTCTCTATCTGTCTCTCCCTCCCTCCCTGTCTCTCTGTCTGTGTCTGTCTGTCTCTTCTGTCTGTCTCTGTCTCT